GAGCTCAAATTTCTGCAAGCAGGAGAAGATAGTGCTGAAAAACATTACCCCAGAATGCAGGGTGAAAGACAGGTGCCACCGACTGGCTCAACTGTCTCTCCACACACCCCCCGCCCCCCCAATCTGGCTGCAGGAAGAGAACTCTGCTCGCACTCACTGCTTGCACTCACTGCGTCTCCTAGGAGGCGACAGATGGCCTTTTCCATGGGAAGGGCTCCCTGGGTCTAGCCAAGTCTTCAGAGCTTCAAATATCTTGTTCTAGTGGGAAGATGGTCTCCAACCGTTGAGCACCTGACTTACCTGGTCCACAAAATCAGGGAACCCAGCCCTAAGGATCTCCAGGAGAGGCCTCTGCCCCAGGATGCGTTGGGTTGAGCCACAGCATTTTTCCCCCAGTGGATCCACCCACAAATCCCTCAAACAATCACGTGTATCAAGACCACCTTACTCAAAGAACCAATTGCATCTTAACATTTTTCTAAATTTTTTTCGACAGGCAGAGTGGACAGTGAGAAAGAGAGAAAGGTCTTCCTTTTTCCATTGGTTCACCCCCAATGGCCGCTGTGGCCGGCGCACCATGCTGATCCGAAGCCAGGAGCCAGGTGCTTCTCCTGGTCTCCCATGCGGGTGCAGGGCCCAAGCATTTGGGCTATCCTCCACGGCACTCCCAGGCCACAGCAGAGAGCTGGCCTGGAAGAGGAGCAACCAGGACAGAACCGGCGCCCCAAATGGGACTAGAACCCAGGGTGCCGGCGCCCCAGGCAGAGGATTAGGCTATTGAGCTGTGGCGCCAGCCATTTTTCTAAATTTTTAAATTAAAATTTATTTTTTTTTTATTTTACTTATTTGAAATTCAGAGTTACAGAGGGAGGGAGGGAGGGAGGGAGGGAGATAGAGAGAGAGAGAGAGAGAGAGAGAGAGAGAGGTGTTCCATCTGCCAGTTCATTCCCCAAATGGCCTCAACAGCCAGAGTTAAGCCAATCTGAAGCCAGGCACTTCTTCCCAGCCTCCCACATGGGTGCAGGGGCCGAAGCACTTGGGCCATCTTCTGCTGCTTTCCCAGGCACATTAGCAGGGAGCCGGATAGGAAGCGGAGCAGCTGAGTCTTGAACCGGCACCCATATGGGATGCTGGCACCGCAGGCAAAGGCTTCACCTACTACACCACAGTGCCGGCCTCTGTCTCATTCTTCTACAAAATTCCCTTTTACTTCTACAAAGAAGATTTGAAAATTTGTTCACCTACTTATTTTCATTTTATTTGAAAGGCAGAGAGATAGAGACAGACAGTCACAGAGATCTTCTATCTGCTGGTTCACTCCCCAAGTGCCTGATATCAGAATTTGGACCCCTAAAAAATATCAAAATGTGGCCCCTTAAAGTTCCCCAGAAGTCCCATATGGGGTGCCATGTATGTTATCAGAATTTGGGGTGCCATACGATATCACCATATGCTTGTTAATAAATCCCCAATAATAAGCCCGAGAGGGTTCTTGCCTAATATTTAGAGAAGAATTCTAAATACCAGCACAGATAAACAAGGCAGCATGTGAGAAAGGTGCATAGGAGAGTGAGGGCTTTATCTAAGAGAGAGGTAAATCTGGGTTCACACCGAGCACCAGGAACCAGCCATGTGGAAGAGTATATAGGCCAGGAAGCCTAGGGTGGGTGGCCCAAAGGCCATGCACCCTGGAGGCACAGGGCTACAGCAAGCCCCCTACTGGCAAGAGGCCAGGGTGAGGGAGGGAGGAAAGGGCCGGACACACCATGTTCTAGGCTTTTAATCTTCTTTCAAAGGGGAGTAATTAATTAACCTGATTGGCTGGTGGGTACTCAGGTGTGGCCAGGTAGGGGCATGAGGTCCACACACGGGCATGGTGAAGGCGTGCTCTTCCAGCTCACAAACCTAATCAATTTTAACCTGTATGTCTGCAAGAGGCAGAGCTGGACCTGGCAGAAGCCAGGAGCCTGGAACTTAATCATGGCCTCCGTGTGGTTAGCAGGGACCCAAGTACTTGCGCCATCACCTGCTACCTCCAAGGTATGCATTGGCAGGAAGCTGGATGGAGGTGAAGTAGTTGGGACTCAAAGCAGGCACCCAGATAAGGGATGTGGACATTCCAGGTGGTGACCTAACTGTTGGGCCAGATGTCTGCCCCGCAAAGGGGATTTTATACGCCTGTGGCAGTAGCTTCATTCTCCGTGGTTAGCAATATTCCTATGCAATACACATATGTGGTTATAACTTAATTTTTATTTGCCCATTTTATAGAAACATTGGAAAAGAAAAAAAGCCCAATATTCCTACATTTTGCCTTCCTCTCACCACTACTGTTTTCTTTCCTGCTGGTTGATTTGCATAGTTGTAATCACAGTGAAACACTCTCTCTGAATGGACTGTCTTGTTATAGCTTATGTCTTACTGCGCACAACTAAGAACGGCAATGCCTTCACACAGGAATTAGTCTTCATTAGCCAAGTCAGCCATGAGCTTTTCTTTTCTTTTTTAAAAAAGACTTATTTTGTTTATTTGAAAGTCAGAGTTACGAGAGAAAGAGGGAGGGAGGGAGAGAGAGGGAGAGGGAGAGGGGGAGAGAGAGAGAGAGAGAGAGAGAGAGAGCTCTTCCATCCACTGGTTCACTCCCCAAATTGCTGCGATGATTAAGACCGGGCCAGACCAAAGCCAAGAGCCAGGTGCTGCCTCTGGGTCTCCCACGTGGGTGCAGGGACCCAAGCACTTGGGCCATCTTCCACTGCTTTCCCAGGCATATTAGCAGAGAGCTGGATAGGAAGTGGAACAGCTGGGACTTGAACTGGTGCCCATATAGGATGCTGGTGCTACAGACGGTGTCTTAACCCACTGCACCACAGCATCATCCCTGGCCATCAGCTTTTCACCTCTCATGCATCCTTCTCCAGATGTGTGTCTCTGAGTGCGTACATGTCTGGACACATGTGCACACACACTGTGTGATCACGTGTGAGTGTGTGTGACTTTGAATGTGTGTCTCTGGGTTGGACTACGTTCCTAGGCGTGTGCATGTGTGTGCAGGTGTGCACAATTCTGCCTGCGAGCTGGCGAGGGTCTGAGGGAAGACCACAAACACAAGGTAGTTATTCTGGATTCTGAGACTGAAATAATTTGGTAAAACCCCCTTTGCGGCAGTTTCGGTCCCCTGTGTGAAGCTGGCTGGGAGCCAGTGGTTCAGGACAGACAGTGCTGGGGACATGGGCCTCCCAGAGCCCAGTGTCTGGGATAGCTTCTGGCTATGGCATCTGCGAGGCGGCAGGGGATGGCTCAAGTGTCTGGGTCCCTGCTACTCACAGGGGAGCCGTGGATGGAGCTCCTGGCTCCTGGGCACTTGGCAGTGACCAAAGAATAGGAGCTCTGTCTGCCTCTCCCTGTTTCTGTTGCTCAGTCTCTGCCTCTCAAATAAATTGTTCATTTTTTTGAAGGTCAGACTTCCTGGTGGGGAAGGCAATGAGCAGACTGTGGGGCCTTGTGGTCTCTGGCTCCCCAGCCCCTCCCTCATCTAGGCAGGGGCTGTGCCGGGGGTGGGGGTGGGGGTGGCCACTGGCCCTGGACCCCACACCCTAGTTTCCTGTGCTCCTTCCCTGTTGTGCCCAGCGCTGGCAGCAAGCCCAGCCCGAAGGCACACACAGCCTCTCTGCCTGGCCGTGCGGTCGTGTGGTCGGGGTGGTGCGGGAGCCGGTGCCTGCCCCACATTGCTGAGGACAGAGGAGGCGTCTCCTGCCCCCAGCTGCTTCCTCTGAGACCTGCGTGTCCCCTGTGGGCACCCGGGAGCCCTCTGCAACCCATGCCAGGGAGCAAATGGGGCCACGCTGAGGCGCCCCAATGCTGAGGATTTCTCGTGGGGAGGTGACCCCAATGTGTTGTGGTGGCGGAGATGGAGGGCCGAATTATCTGGTGCTCCGTGACCATCCTAAGCCCGGACAAGGCTGGGTTTCTCCCCGATCTTTCTCCTAGGACCAAGGGCTGAGGGTTGGGGCTCTTAGCAGGGACCTGTGCCATCAGCAGCTGTGGGCATCTGGCGTTCGCTCTCCAGCCCGAGCTCCTCGGGGGACAAGGAAGGCCGGAGCTTCGGGAGATGAGACAGCCCCTGGGGCCCCAGAGCCTGGGGCCTGAGCCTGTTCACCGTGGGTGAGAGATCTGCCCTCGGGGAGGGAGGTAGTGGGCTTGGTGTTTGCAGTGCAGGGGAGAGACAGGTAGCAAGAGCTCTACGCCAAGGAGGGTGCCCCAGGACAATGCAGGCTGCTAGCATCAAAGGCAGTGACAGCCCAGCCCCAGCCCCCTGCAGTGGGGCTTCCCTTCCCTCTCCAGCCACTTCCTCCCCTCCCCACCCCCACCTATAGCCTCGGCTGGCTGTGCAGGAAGCCGAGTTTCTGTCTCCCAGGCAGGCGGGGTGCGGGAGCTGAGCATGTGCCACACACTGGGCACTGCTTCTCCCTTTGGAAGAGGAGGTGGGGTCAGCCCGGAGCCCCGAGCCTAGGCCCTGCTTCCTGCACAGCTCTGAGGGCTCAGCGGGGACAAAACGGAGGCCGCTCTGATCTCTGGCTGCAGAGGGATCCTGGGGAGGGGCCCACCCAGTGACCAGACCCCAGGGGGCGGAGGGGCCCACCCAGTGACCAGACCCCAGGGGGCCGAGGACTCGCCAGGGGGTGGCAGGTCCTGGAGACCCCAAAGGCCCCCAGGCTGCAGGCAACGGCCCACACCTGCTGCTCCCTGGGCAAGTGGGTGGCAGATTTTCCCCACCTCCTCACAGCTGAAAGTCTTTGGGCTGGAGGCCAAAGAGACAGGAGAGAGGTCAAGGGCAGGGAGAGAGGCGGGAAGGGCAGAGGGTGGGGACCACAGGGGCTGGGGAGGAGGCTCCTGAGGGAGGAGGGGGCTGACCCTTGCAGGAGCAGGCGCAGGAGCAGGAGGGGCCCAGGGCTGTGGAAGGTGGGGCCAGGGTGGGGAGGGGGCGAGGGAAACAACACATCTGTTGCTGCTTCCTCATCGTCCAAGTGAAGAGAGCCAGAGACCCTGGGGCTCTGAATTCTGAGTGCTCCCCTGTCTCTGTTCCCCTGGAACCTGTCCTTGTGACCTCACAAGATGAGAGAGTCCTGCCTGCAGCACAGCTGTGCCCATTGTAGAGAAGTGAAAACTGAGGCCCTGGTGGACTCCGTCAGAGGCGGTGCTTGGGCTAGAACAGGTGTGCTTTGTCACAGGGGCCCTGGAGGGGAAGGGTCAGGGATGGTGTGAGAGGCAGGATGAGAGAGAGAAACATGGGGCCACGGCGAGAGGCAGGACCAGGACACACTGGTGGCAGCTTTGTGGGCGCCGTCCTCGGCCTCGTAATGCCACCTTCAGCGGCTCCGAGGTTTGGGCCGTGGTCTGGGAAGAGGCTGCTCTGCCTCCTTCCTATGAACGCTCATCCCCTGCTTCTTCTTATTTGGAAGAAGTGTAGACCCAGTGATCGCGATTGAACACTGCAAACCTTGCCTTCCTGCAGCTGTGTGCACTGGCTAACAACTCCCTGGAGCCGTTAGCAAGCTCTATCATTTAAAGGTCAGGTAACACACAAGCTGAGACTTCCGGTCACCTTAGGTTACGGCACCCGTAGCCACCCGGTTCACAATTTACTCCCTGCAAAGGCAGTGAAGCGGGGAGCCCAGTCTGACTGTCCCTGACCTGTCTTTCTCTAAGTGAGCAGTGGTTTGTAGGACAAGGAGCCAGGGCTTACGCCTGGGAACCCAGGTTTTCTCTGAGACGTTGGAGGCCAAGTTTCTGCAGGGAGCTGGATCCTTAGGGTGTGGAGTCCCGGCCTCCTGCGGAACCAGGGCCATGATGGGGCTAACCCAGGAACGGGAGGGTGGGGGGTTGTGGTGCGGCTCAGCCCCTTCCTCCTCCTGCTTCCTCCTCCTCCCTCTGTAACTGAGGAAGCATTCATTTTCCAAATGTGTGGGCAGTGGGCAGAGACTGGATGTAGGTGAGCCTCAAGGTCAAGCTGGGGCGGTTCTCATTCCCACCACCTCGGGTACCCACACTGTCACTCTGCGCCTGTTGAACACCCACTTTCCCAGGGACTTTGGGAGGGACCCCCAGTGTATCTGGGAGCCAGGGGCTCTCAGACAAAGGGAGCGCTTGTGCACAGCGCCTCTCCCAGGGCTCCGGCATTGGAGCAGAGCTGTTCTCCAGCCCCGGATAAAACACAGCTGGGGCGGGCGCAGAGCGGATTAAGGCACTGCTCGGGGCACTGGTGTCGAATGCTGGAGCTCCAGTTTGTTCCAGCTCCCTGCTGGAACACCTGGGAAACAGAAGATGGCCCAGTGCTTGGGCCCCTGCACCCATGGGAGAGGCCAGGGGGAGTTCCTGGTTTCTGGCTTCAGCCTGACCATTTGGGGAATAAATCAGAGGGTGAACGTCTCTCTCTCTCCCTTTCAAATAAATAAAAATAAATATATATTTTTAAAAAAACCAAAGATTTCAGGAAGGAAGTGAATGCCACGGTTACTTTAACTCTGGCGGGGTGGCGCGCATGCCAAGTATGAAAGCGCTAGAAGGGGCGGTCTGTGGTACAGTGGGTAAAGCCACCGCCTGCAGCGCCGGCATCTCTTATGGGCACCAGTTCAAATCCTGGCTGCTCCACTTCCTATCCAGCTCCCTGCTATGACCTGGGAAAGCAGTAGAAGATGGACCGAGTCCTTGGGCCCCTGCACACAAGGGGGAGACCCAGAAGAAGCTCCTGGCTCCTGGCTTTGGATTAGAGCAGCTCCTGCCATTGTGGCCATCTGGAGAGTGAACCAGCGGATGGAAGACCTCTCTCTCTCTCTGCCCCTCCTCTCTCTCTCTCTGCCTCTGCCTCTCTGTAACTCTGCCTTTCAAATAAATAAATAAATCTTGAAAAAAGAAAGTGCTAGAAGACGATTCGTGCTCTTCTCCCGAAATGAACATTCGTCCTGCAGTAAGACAGAGAAACGTGTGTATGTGGAGGAGGGGTGGGGAGGGACGCAGAGGGGGAGAAAACCCTCACGGTAAATGAGGAGAGACCTTTAACTTAGCGGCCAACCTGCAAAAGAGAATGCTGAGCCCAGGTGGGTGCGTGGGCGGAGGAAGCAGTGTGGTTCGTGAGCCAGGGACACGGAGCGGAAACAGGATTTCCACCTCCCAGTGGACTCTTCACTCCCCCCACCCCCACCCAGCGCATCCCAGGAAACACTGTGACCTTTGGCTATAGCAAGAAGTGGACAAGGTGGCCTGGACCAGGAGCCCCTGGGAGGCCAGAGCTGGCACCCAGAGGTGAGAAGGAAGCCCCTGGCTCATCAGCCCTGGCTCCCAGGTCCCCATGGGAGGGGAGAGGGCTGGGGGTCCTGGTGGTCAGGTGGAAAAGGCTGGAAGCCCTAGGGGTGGTCCAGCCCAGTACCCTGCCCACTTAAGGCCCTGGCCTGGACAAGATGAAGCCAGCGTTTACTGGAGCATTTTATTATTTATAGTATTTATTGGCGTATTTATAATTTAGAATATGTATAATGTTTATTAGAGCATTTCTAATATTACAATATTCATACTGTTTATTGGAGCATTTATAATGTGATATTTATATTATTTACTGGAGCATTTATAATACATTTATATTATTTACTGGAGCGTTTGTAATATTATGATATTATATTATTCATGGAGCAGGTATAATGTTATATTTGTACTGCTGATTGGAGCACTCACTCGGTGCTCACGAGATGCCCCGAGGGTCTCTTGTACTGAGGGCGACACTTCTATCAACCACATTTTCTCCTCCGCGGTGGTCAGCAGCAGGAGCAACGGGAGATCTCTGGCCTTTCCAGGGCCTTGCAGTCTTTATCATGCCAGGGTGAGGGTCCCCCTGGATGCTGTAGACCCCAAGCGCCGAGACACACAGGCTTGAAGGCTCGTGTGCCAGGGTGGGGGGCTCCAGGCTCCACCAAGACCAGCCACAGGCAGCACGGCCGCCGGAGGAGGAGCTGGGGCCTCTGAGCGAATCGGCCAGAATCCCAGTAGGAAGAGTAGGGCAGCCCTGGGGCTGGTGTCTGAGCTGGGCGCTCTCCCCTCCCCCCTGCCCCTTACCAGTGCATTTCCAGGGAGGGACAGAGGCATGGGAGTGAGGCCGGGTTGAATTCTAAACGGTCACTGCCACCTTGCATGTTTTACTCCATCCCACCTTGACACTAGGGGTCACAGACTGGATGCCTGGCCACCTCCCGCCCCTACGCCTGCCTTCAAGGAGGCGGGACATTCTGGGCCCCCACAGGTGGCTGTAGGGCCTCTATGGGTCTCTGGCACGCAGGGTGGGGGCCATCCTGAGGGATGCGGCAGGCGCTCTGGGAACAGTCTCACTTGTGCCCACAGGAGCCATCAGGCTCAGGTGCACAGCTGGAGCTTGAGGACAGGTGTGACCGAGCCTGGAGGTGTGGGGCAGCCACTGCTGCGTGGGCTCGCAGGGTGCTCAGCCCCTCTTCCTTCCTGCCTGCCTCAGTTTCCCCTGGCCACCCCTCTCTGTCAAGGCTTTCTCTTGTCTGGGATTCCTGCTCCCTTTGATCAGAGAGCCCCCATCATCCATGTGGCTCCTTTTGTTGTCTCCAAATAGAGCGTTAGGGGAGACAAAGGCACACATAAAGCCAGTGTCTAGGTGTGTATGGTGGGGCGGGGGGTCCACAGTCAGCCACAGAGACCAGGCACCTGCTGGACACAATGCCTACGCCTCCACCTGTTCCTCCCAGTTTCTGAGACAGGTGTCAAGTCCACCAGCCCGCTTGGAGGATGACCCTCAAGACTGGCTGAGCGCTCTTAAAATCAGGCTGCTGCAGGGGGCTCCCAACACCCCTTTCCTGTCCTGAGTCCCTTGTGTGACTGCTGCTTTCTCACTCCAACCTGACCCCGTGGGAGTCTGTCCAGAATCCAGCCTTGGAGCTACCCTACCCCACTGGAGCAGGTCTTGGTTTGGGTCCGAGGTTTCTTTTATGGGACAGTTTCCTGTATGCCATTGCTCTTCAGTGTGCATGTTCCTGGGGACCCCAGTGGCCCCTGCCCCTATTCCTGCTCCACCAGCTTGTAGCCCCAGCTCTTGCCATCCCTGGGCCCCGGCTGCCCAGGGAGACCTCTGAACCCCACAAGATGCCACATCCTGCGTGTGTCTACATTGCATATGTCCTCGTCCTCCGGCATCTTCCCCGTCACCTTGTCCTTGTGCCCCTGGCTGGCTGGTGGCATCTCATTCTGCAGCAGAGAACAGGGCCGGGCCTGCTGGACTCCCCAGCTGTGAGGCGGCAGGAACCTGCTGGCTGGTGGCATCTCATTCTGCAGCAGAGAACAGGGCCGGGCCTGCTGGGCTCCCCAGCTGTGAGGCGGCAGGAACCTGAAGGTAGCCAGCTAGGAGGGGAGCGAGGCACCGCCTGAGGAGGGGCTGAGCCGGCTGACACGGCTCCCTGCTGGCTTCTGGCCATGGGTGCCTTCCCCGGGGCAGGTGAGCCCAGACACCCATGAGCCCCCACAGTTCATGGCCCCCTGTGTCCAGGAGGCCCTGGTCCTGGCTGACCCCACACACAGCCCCTCTGACATCAGGAGCCTGCAGGGGCCTTGCTGGGAGAGGCCAGGTCTGCCAGGGCCCTGTCCCGGTGCCTACGCCCGCGGGGGGCCCTGTGGCCTGGTGCGGGGTGGACTTGGTACTGCCTGTGTCTTGCGCGTGGGTGTGATCGCGGGCTTGAAGCGCTGGCCCAGGCCGGGAGTGCACGTCTTGAGGGGAGCTCGGGGCTGGGGCCCCCGCAGCTTCCCCGCAGACACACATGAGCCGAGCCACTCTTCTGAGTCACCAGACCCACCTCAGGTGGTTTCTCTTCCTGTAGAGACCTGCGAGCCATGGCGCACACGCTTGGCAAAAATAGCCCCGGCCTTGTCCTGCGCCCGGGGCCCGGGAGCTCACTCTCCAGCCGCGTCTCAGCACCAGGTCTCTGGATGGCCAGGGATCCCAGCTGAGGGCCAAGTGGGAAGCGCGGGGGAGGCTCAGCAGTGCCAGCCCCTACAGAGGCCGAGAGGCCCCAGGGGAATCAGCAGCTGTGAGGTCCAGGCTGGCCCGGCTCGCTGTAGGGGTGCAGGGCGGTGCGTGGACCCAGCCACGCTGAGACGCGTGTGGGGCCTGCCGGGCATGGACACCTCCTGAGGGTGTGGGTGATCGGCACCAAATCCTAAACCCCAGGAGTCTGCAGACCACAGCCGCCTTCCTCTGCTTGCAGCGTGGTGCCCTCGTTAGACGTCAGGCCTACATCAGACACTTCCAGAAAGACTCCTAGGCCTTGTCGCTCCTGGAAACTCTTTTGAGTTTTGTTTCTGGGTGAGTGTGTGACCGCTCTTCTGGGACTTCTAGGAAACTTGCTCTCCCTGCCCCTTGGAGGGGAGGGGACCCCCCCCCCCCCGTCCCTTGGAGGGGAGGGACCCCCCTCTCCCAGAGCCCTGCTCCAGACCCCAGGGGAAGGGCCCTGGCCCTGAAGCGCCCTTCGCCTGTAGGCTGCCCTGGAGCTACTTGAAGAGCACCTGGTCCCACCCCCTCGGTTCACCAGCAAGAAAGTTGAGACCCAGAGAGGGGAAGCACCTCTCCCTGGAGCAGGCTGGCGGCCAGCGCTGCTGGAGGGGAAGCGGCAGCTCACAGTCGCTCAGCTGCACCAGACCCCCAGCATGTAACAGGCTCCGGGCCGGGGAGGGAAACCGAGGCATGGAGCCTCTGACCTGACCTTGCTCTCATGGGACACACAGCGAGACTCCCGTGGGCCTGCGTGCTGCCCGCACCTGACGCGGCTCCGTGGGCTGGGCCAGGTAGCGGGGCTGGCGGCAGTCCCGGGCTGGCGGCCTCTCAGACGCAGCAGCTGCAGCAGGCGGACCCGGTCTGTCTCGATGACGGGTGAGATTTTTCCACGAGCCCTCAGCTTCCTCCTGTTCTGAGTCAGCCCAGAGTCGGGTGGGGAAACCTCCCCGGAGCCTTCCCCGGTGGACCGGGCTTGCGTGCCACCACCCTCCACCAGGCCACGGCCGCTGCCCCAGCTTCCCATGGGGAAAGCACCGGGGGCCAGAGATGACGCACTGTTGGGAATCATCCCGTGGCCCCTGAGCAAGGCATGAGTGGCAGCCACGGGTGGGCGTGGGAACCCGTATTCCTAGCATCAGTTTACACCTCTGGGTCTCGTGCTGAGGGAGCTGCCGGCCCCTGGGGAGCACGGGGACCTCTGACTGCGCTCCGTAGTTTAACCGGATGGTTCTCCACCCAGCCTAGCGTCTCTTGGAGAGGCTGGGAGAGACGACACACTGAACATTCTCGACTCTTCTCTGAGCGAGAGATTACGAGGTCAGGAGCTGTCTGCAGGCCTGGCCTGGCCCGGGGCTGGGCTCTGGGCTGCCCCGGAGCAGTGGGGATGGAGGCAGGGTGGGAATGGGCTGCCTGATGACCCATGAAGGGCTGGGCTCTCCTCTGCCTCTTCAGCTTTGTCCCAGCCCCGGGGGGAGCACAGCTTTTCTGCAGCCGAAGCAGACTGAGCTATTCATTCATTCATCCATCCATCAATCCATTCATTCATTCATTCACTCCCTCTTTCATCCAACAAAAACTCTCCCAAGGACCTGTCTCATATGAGGCTCCGGAAACAGCATCTACAAGGCACCATCCTTGTCATGGGGTGCTCCGGACTTCAGGGACAATCCCCTGCTGCACACAGATGACCCCGAACGGCCCCCACTCTGCCACGCTGGCCAAATCCCATGGAGTGAAGCAGGCAGATCAGAGATCAGGGAAGGCACGGGTGGGATTTGCAGCAGTAAGGGAGCGTCTACGGGGAAAGAGGCGGCAGTTGGGTGGAGCAAGGCGGACCGAGGAGTGAGGAGGGGGCCGCATACTGCAGGTGGTCTTGCTGGTTTTGCTGGTGGGGGCTGGGCTGGGAGACCAGGAAGGAGAGGCTCAGATCAACTTCCAGCAAAATCCTACGGCTACATGCTCTGTCCCTGTCGTGTCTTGTCGCTCCTGGCACTGTGGCTCAGGCACAGACTGATGCCTGGGCACTGTGAGGGTGGACGTCCACGCCGCTCACTGTGGCCCACGGGGACTGGAGTTTCAGGCATGGAACCCAGGTAGGACGCCACTGGCCTTGGGGACATTCCAGGGCCTCCTGGAACCGCACCCCTGCAGACTGCTCCCCCCGGCGTCTGGCCCCGAGGTGGCTGGGACTCCAGGGCTCTGAGCAGAGGAGGAGGAGGAGGAGGAGGGCTTGCAGCAGGGGAAAAGGGACTCCCTTGGCGCCTGCAAACCTCCACCAGGCTGCGCTCTTCCTGCTGCCCGAGTGCTCTGGAAAATCCAGGCCGAGGCGGGAGGAAGGTTGGTTTGGTGTTGAGCCACACAGCTCCGTGTGGGCCCTCAGCTGTGCAGAGGCAGCTGCGGGGCTGCCCCACAGGGGCCGCTGGCTCCTGGAAGTTGTGGGCAGCTGGGGACACGCAGGGCACAGGAGCTGTAGGAATCTGCATCCAGGAGGAGGCAGACCTGGGGGCAGGAACCAGCACACAGAGGCCGGGCTGCAGGTGCCCAGGGCCGAGCCTGAAGAACTGAAACACGGCCTGGGGCTGGAGGGAGCTCCCAGGCCCTTTGCACACACCGGGGCATTCCCTCTTCCTTAAACCTGAGAAAGCAGTAATACTGAAAGAGGCGTTCATTTCAGGGTTTAAAACATACAAACCAACCACCTCCATAAGACATTGGGATGTGTGTGTGTGTGTGTGTGTGTGTGTGTGAGAGAGAGAGAGAGAGAGAGAATTGCCTCTACAGTGTTGTAGATAAGCACATCTCCTGCCTTGGCTTGCATACCTCTGGCGACAGAGGGCTCACTACCCAGCAAGGCCGCTTTGCCTGCTTTCGGACAATCCGGTTGCAGGATAGATCTCTTGGCAGCTCTGGGATCCGTGTGAAGTCACACCACGGACCTCAGGCTTGGGCAGGTGCGTCGCGGGTTCCCTCTGCGGCTTAGGAGCAGCTGTTCTTTCTATAATTCCTCCTGGTTGTGGCCCTGGCTGCCTGCCACGTGCAGCCCCTGCAGGCAACAGCCAGCAGCCCCTGCGGTGGGGGGGATCAGAGCCCAGCGATGGGAGAAGTCGTCACCCCACCGCACGCCCGTTCAGTGTCCCAGGTTCTCGGGAGAGGCTCTGAGGCCTCCCCTCATTTTCCACTGTCCTTTTTTTGGAAGGGTGGCCGATTTTGTTTCAGCCGTAACTGCATCTGTAGTTCCTGAATCCACATCTGTCCCTGCCGGTGCCTGGGCCGCCACCTCCCACCGCGTCTCTGACTCACGCGTTGTTTGAGAGACCATGTGCGGGAAGGCGCAGCGATGTCACTGACGCAGAAGCCCTGCGGCCCCCCGGGCAGCACCAAGCACCAGCTGTGTTCTTGGTGGCCGGAAGTGTGGCCCTGGCCTTTGCACACCTGTGTGGACAGGGGGGTGGCAGACTCTGGGAGAGACACTGCTCTTCTGAACCCAGCGTACCCCCCTACTGACCCGCCGAGTCTCCTCGTTTTGGGGGGCTGTTCAGAACTCTAATTTCTCCCTCACCCTCGCGAGTGATATTCTAAGAGGGGAGTCCTAGGGTCTTTGCCTCTTCCTCTCTGCTCGTGGCTTCCTGCATTCCCAGCAGGTCCCTGTTACAAACAACCGCTGTCTTACCCTCTCGGTTCTTTTTACTAAAAAAAAAAAAAAAAAGCACCAAAGTTATGCTCTTTCGTGTGTGTCATCCTCCTCTAAGTGTGCCTTTTGGTCTTCTCCTTGTTTCCGATGGACAAAAGGTGCGTGGGTTTTGTTTCTTCAAAGCAATGAGCGAGGCTGATGTTATCGTCGCTCAGAGCATGCGGGTGAGCCCCCGCGGACTTGGCTCTCTCTCTCTTCTATATTGAGACATTGCAGTGTTTCGCTTCCAGTTTCTATTGTAAATTGTCTTTCTTTCGTCCTTTTAAAATAGACAAGAAAATTGCATCAAATATCCAATTTGAAAAATATTGAAGTTTTAACCTCTGTGCTTGCTTCTGTTACTAGTTGGTCAAACTTTGGGGAAATCAAGTCTTAGCCATCTTCTGCTGCCCTCCCCCCTTCCTTGTTAAGGGGTGTTTCGAGTCTCTTTTACGTTGTTCCTCGAGCCTTGTGATCTGATGGCTGACCCATGCACAGATGAAACTTTTTGGTTTTTATGTAAAACAGAAGAAACCATAGATTGGCTGCCTATTTCTGCTCTCTCACCCATTTTTTGCCTCGACCCATTATCTGTGACTGCTGTCTATACAGTGTCTTCATAATGGAAATTTCCATGAACTTTCTGGAAGGTTCCGCACTTGTGTCAGTTTCCAATTTTTTTTTTTTACACCAAAACAAACTTATCTCTCAATTCCACTTCCATTAATCTTGTAGTCCCTTCGTGAAAAGGAAAGTCAAAAATTAGACCTGGCGAGTCTCCTTCCCCCCCTCCCCAGCATTTAATGTAATTTTTAAAAACTCCAGTTGTTTACATAGTAATAGTAAATAACTAGAAAAATACACCAAAGCCAACAAGAAGAGAGAGAGTGATAAAAAGAAAAGATTTGAAAACCCCCTGTGCTCTAACAGTAACTACTTTGACATATGGATATGTTGTTCTAGGTTTTTTTTTCCCCTCTATGCGTGGGTTTTTAATAACCATAGCTGAAATCATTCTGAATGCATAATTCTACACTTTGTGGGTTTCACCTAACCTAGTCAGCATAAACATGGCACAGACAGAAACATTTTCCATTGAGTAGATTCACCGCAGTGAAATTAAAACTCTTGCTGATGTTTGAATGTGTCTGTGTTGTTTGCTTTGAGGGAAAAAAAATGCCGAGGTGAATGTATTTCTGAACATGGTTTTTCCTTGTGTTGCATAATTTACTTAGGGCAAATTCTCAGAACCACCAGATAAACGAGTAATACGGTTTTTTTTAGTTTGTCATATAAATTACCGAACCCTGCAAATTGGCTGCGAATCTGTCTCCTCAGTGACTTTCTCACCCAAGCCTTGCCAGCTGCCTGTTAAGTTGCATAAGCAAAAATGTTATCTCTTGATAAAATAAACCTTCTTCTGGGAACTGTGTCCTTTGTCCGTTTATCGATTGTGCAGTCTTGAGAGCCTGCATTTTTGCATACTCTTCGTAAAGGATGGACGCCGTTTATCTCACCTACCGGTTACATTTTGTTCCCTCCAGTGTATTATTTGGTGTTATAATCTGTTTTAAAGGTTTATTTACTTATTTGAAATCTAGAGTGATAGAGAAGAGGCAGAGACAGAAAGAGAGAGCAAGTGATCTTCCATCTACTGGTTCACTCGCTGAATGCCCACAGTCGCCAGAGCTGGCCAGGCCAAAGCCGGGAGTGGGGAGCTATATCCAGATCTCCTACATGGGTAGCAGGGACCCAAGTATTTGGGTCATCAAATTCTGCCCCCAACAGCATCGCAGGAAGCTGGATCAGAACCAGTAGAGGGAGTTGAGCCCAGGCACTCGATGTAGGATACAGGCATCTCCAGTGGTGGCTTAACCTACAGTACTGTAACACCCACACCTGACATTTTTTAACAAAATGTTTTCTATTTTTGTGCTGTAAAACCTGTTCCATTTATTTTCCACTTCTGTTGCTTTTCAGTCATTCTAAGTTGACAAAGAGCGTTCCCCTCCAATGACTTTTGCTGGGTATCAAATTTTCATCTAGTTTTCCTATGGTTTCATTAAAAAAAAACTTATTTCCAGATTGAGTTTAGAATTTCTCTCTTGTCCTTTTCTTTTTTGGAATTTCTTTATCTATAGAGTGTGAGATGCAGATCTAAATTGGGGTTTGCCTGCAACATAAATTATTGGCTAAGCTCCCTTCT